ATTATTATCATTATAATCATCATGATTATTACTATTATTATTACTACTAATAATAATGATATATCATTAACATTTCCATGTGCTTACTTGGTAAAGAGCTATTCCCGTAAGGGTGATATCTTCTACTTTGTGAATGAGTTGTCTTCCTAGGCCGTCCAGCTGGACAGCTTCAACGGTAAACTTGGCGCTGTCCACCCAGTACAGGCGATCGTGGACATAGTCGATGGTTACTCCCATAGGCTTCAGTATGTCCCGCTCCACGATGATACGACGGTTTTGGCCTTCAAGGTCGCTGACCTCAATTCTGGGTCGGGCTCCCCAGTCAGACCAGATGAGATACCTAGGTGTATGTTTGGGAGGGGGGTGGGAGGAGTTGGAGAGAGGAAGGGGAGTTGAAGGGAGTTGGAGAGAGGAAGGGGAGTTGAGGGGAATTGGAGAGAGGAAGGGGGGTTGAGGGGTGTTGGAGAGAGTTAGGGGAGTTGAGGGGAGTTGGAGAGAGGTAGGGGAGTTGAGGGGAGTTGGAGAGAGGTGGAGGAGTTGAGAGGGGATTTAGGGGGTGGTGGGGTGAGTTCGGGGAGGTGGAGAAGGTGTGGGAAGGTGGGTGGAGGGAGGGTAAAGAGATGTTCAATATCAGAGGAAAAAAAAGTCAGAGTAGGAGGTTAAAGTGACAGAGAAATCAAATTTGGTTAGTAAGAGATTTACTGCACTTGTAACACAATTAGGTCATATAAGTGTCAAAGATTGGAGATTATTTCAACAGAGCGACAAAAAAAAAAGAAGGAGGAAAGATCAAAAGACAGCTGTTTGATATAGAAAAAGAAGAAAGCAAACAACCATTCAAGATCTGAGAGGGAGAAAAAATAAAGATACAATGTACGTGCACAATGTAACGGAAAACTTTATTTCGTCATGAGATACAAACCAGAGAGTTTACAGTAACTCTATTATGAAATGGTTCTATCTGCGTTTTACGAATATTTCGTGTCACAGTTCATAGTTTGAGATTTTAAAACTTTGAGTTCCAATATCCCAAAAAATCCTTAAAGAACTCTTTTAAAATCTTGCAAGAATTTTGGGGGAAGGATGAAGGAAAGGGGATATCAGAGTGAGCCGATAAAAGTCATCTTTAGAAGGATGATAAAAGCAAAAGACGCCTCAAGTATTGGAATGTAATTGAATAATTGTGTACGTGAATGTGTATGTGTGCGTGTGTGTGTGTGTGTGTGTGTGTGTGTGCACATACGCTTGCACGCATGCACGCACGCGCGCACACACACACACACACACACACACACACATATATACACA